CCTAAAACTTTTGAGGGCTTACTATGGTATTTACTTTGTAGGAGTAGGTTAATATTCGAGGTTTCTCTAACTTTATAGCTAACCTAAAACTATTGAAGGCTACACTATCGCATTTCCTTTCTTTGCAGGTAAATACTGTTTACGACTTTTGTAAAGTATTCGATAACTAAATACCAAAAGGTTTGAACTGTTTAACGGATTTCTTTTTGCTCTTCAATTGGTCGAATCTCCGATATATGTGAAACTAAGAAATAATAACTGCAAAATAAAAATAAAAACAATACGTACTACAAGAAACCAAAGCAGGTGTCGGAGAAAGTGTGGTATCGGTCCATAAGTGTTATTTCGAATAAAAATTTCGCAAGACCGTTTAGACATTCAGTTGCCGAAAACATTTGCATACAAACCCAAACAACGCTGTCCAACAAAAGAAAAAGATTTTTCATCTGACCATTGTTTCGCGCGTGACCTTCTTGTCCTTTTATAGATGACACGCTAATTTTAATGTATTATAATGTGACGAAGGATAGAATACATTCCGTAGAGAGTGCGTTCCGACTTCTCTGTCAGTGCACAGAAAAAACGCATTTAACATGTTTTAATATATCCGGTTGTGACGAAGTCTTTGACATATTTATAAAACTGTCCACCTTCTTATTATTCTTATTCTTCTTTTATTTCAGGCACTGAAACAAATGCAATCTACAGCGACCAAGGCTGTAAAACTTAGGCATTTACATGGAAATGTAATGGGCGTTATCATTGTTTCTTTCAAATGTTAAAATTAATTTTGTAAAATAATTCCTGTGCGTATTCTGTACCAGTCTTCGTCAGTATTCTTAATAATTCACAGGTCTACAATAATTTTGACGTTTTAAAGTTTATTTGTATATTTTTGGAGGGCCATTTTTCTAAAAAACTATTTTTGCTCTATAACGTAATGTTTTTTTATAGTGCTTTGTTTCTTAAAAATGTTATTTTATTAATATACATAACTATGACATGAATATGTTTGTTCCATGTTAGGCATGATTTTTCTATAAATTGTTTTTTTATGAAATTAAGTGTTGGTAACACTGGCTAACACTGCGCTGTTTTCGCGGCTGTTGTCTTCGTTGTTGCGTTTTTCTAGTGTTCTGAAACGTATAAATTTGAAAAGAAGACATTTTGGGAACAATCCAAATAACTTTTGTTATAACTGTGGTAGTTATGTCGTAGTAAAGCAAAGGCAAACTATAATTTGTTTTGTGAAAAATGTATACCATGTTTATTTTGGTGTAAAAATTATTATTCAAAATTCTCGATTTTAATAATCGAATACTGAGGGATCGAGTACTCCTGTTTTTTTTCACGATATGAAGAGAGTAACAATTTTAAGTAAAAGACTTACTTAAAGCTGCTTTAACGAAAACAATGATTCAAGGCGTGGGAAATATCTCCGAAATCATCCAATTGCTCCCGAACCTGTAAGGTAAAATCCCGAAAATGTCCGAAGTGGCTCGGATCCGTGAGTAATAAAACTGACTTAGTAAAGTGACGCTTCCCGCACGCTAGATCGGTGTGTAATTAGTTATTTCACAGACGGGAGTAGAAAAAAAAATTACTGGCTCCTCATATCAAACTTGGCTTGCTGAAGCAGTTTGTTAAAGCTCTAGATAAAAATGGACAGTGTTTCTAATATTTGTGCGATAAATTTCCAGAGATATTTGATGCCAAGATAAAAGAAGATATTTTGTTGGGCCGCATATAAGAACATTATGCAAGACACACAAGTAATTTGTAATTGTTTCTTGGGAACTGGAAAGACGAAAACCACGAAAGTATTATTCGAAATATGTTACAACACTTACATTGCCTAGGTTGGAATATAACTATTCAAATATTTTCCTGAAAATTTTGAAGCAGTTAGCGAAGAATATTGAGAGAGGTTTCAGCAGGCATTAAGGAAATGATGGCGGGCTACAGCTTTCTGGCAAAAAGACGAAGATTTCACTCAAAAAAGTCTGCGTAAAGTTTTTTTCACTTTTTTTTTAAACTAGCATTTCACTTTTTTACCGAATAAAAAAGTACATTATTTTAGAATTATAGTTTTGTTTCTTTAACATATGCAAAAAAACATTCCGTGATACAAATAAATGCATAGATTTTTTGAAACCAGCCTACCAAAATCAGTTTTCAATTTAAAATCATATGTCAAAAGGTTTTTATTTTTTAGACTTGTGTTATCGTTTTGTAAGGAGCTTTAGTATCACGGATAGAAATGGCACTCCCACAATTATAATTTTATACAATGTATTCCTAAAATTTAATTATATTCAGACCAAAAAGTCTTCTTTCTGCTGATTGATTCATCATAGGGCTCGCTCCAATCATCAGTAATTGTTGTTATTCACCTATCCGTGTTTTTTGTTTATATGCGAATAGAAAGTTCGATTATTCAAAATTCAATATTTTAATAATCCAATACTAAGGGATCGAGCGTGGTAATAATTACCGAGTACTGAGTATTGCTGTCTTTTTTTTCACGATATGAAAAGAGTAACAAGTTTAAGCAAGAAACTTACTTAAAATAATGATTACTTATTAAATTATTTATATTGCATAAGTACGTTAAGGCAACTTATTTAATTTTAAGAATAGGAACACTCGTTTGCTATTGCGTATTCTTGAAATTTTCGCTTTCTTAGCCATTATGTTTAAAATATTTGAGAAAAATCCTATATTATTTTATCCTAAATTATTTTAAAAACTTCTGGATTCCTCCTGAGACGGTTTTTATTGAGTCGAACTTGCTAATGTTTCGCCAATCATCCTGTTGGCTTCTTCAGAGTATCAATGAAACCGTTTCAGAGTAGAATGCGCGTGACTTTCAGTTAAGCTCTGAAGAAGTCAACAGGATGATCGGCGAAGCGTTAGCAGGTTCGACTCAGCAAAAACCGACGCAGGAGGAATCCAGAAGTTTTGAAAAAAGTATTACGGTAGATTTTGGAAGTTTCTTTGAAAATGGATAATTTTAATTTAACTCCCACTACTATGATATTAACTTCAGATTTTGGCACGAGCGGAGCGAGTGCTTAATAAAAGAGGGAGATCAAGAGTTTACCAAACATGTAGCATAATCCAATACGTCACAAAAAAATCACGATCTAAAAAATTAAAAATGATAACAGATTATCGGATTCCAAAATTTCGTACCATTCAAACAAAATATTTACTAGTTTCTGATGATCTAATGACAGAGCCCTTAAGATTATAAAATTTCTAACCTTCAATTTTTGTTTTGTTTGTACTGGTGAGATATGCACTGATACAATTGGTCTTGGCAAGATATTAATATAAAAACTGTAAAAGTACTATGATGATGATACATGATGATAAAGTTCATGCGAACGGTATGTAAAATTTCTGTGTGAAACTTAAATTATAAATGTCACTTTAGTTATCGATTAGACCACCAGATTTTAATTGTAGCTTATAGCAGGTAGTATTTAAATTGTCTGACATATTGCATAACATTTTTGTGTGTAATGGTTTTTTGGTGCATTTTTGCAAAACAACATGAATACATTCTCTGGCATGATTTTCAGAATTGGCAAACGCCAACATTCAAATCATGCGTTAAAATCTTCGAAAACATCCGATTGCTCCCAAGCCGGTGCAGTAAAATTCCGAGGTGGTTCGGATTCATGGGAAACGAAACTGACGTAGTAAAATGACGCTTACCGCACGCTAGATGGGTCGGTACTTAGGTATTTTAGAGACGGGAGTAGAAAAATACATTTTTATTGGTGTACTAAACAATGTTAGGTACACTGATTTTTGGAAAGCTTTTACTGACTACGTACTTTACCATCGCCTTTAGGACATATGCTTAGTAATGTGGATTTAATGTTCTTTCCATTGCGTTAGGAGACACCCCGGAGAACGCCAAGAAAACTACGGAAGAAGGCACTAGTATGATATTAGAGGCGGACGAATCTAAAGTGATCATTGACGCCTTCGGAAGAAGAACGACATTTCATTTTGGACAAGAAATAGCTGAAACTCTTCCGAGTGGCCATCCAATTACGGTAATTTCGACAGTTCCTTTTATTATTATGGAAAACAAAGCTGATTGGGTGATGTAATGTAGGAAATATCACATTTTATCAAATGTTCAAAACTATAATTCTTATGTATCTATTTATTTTGTTGTTCACAGAAAATAAAACGTTTCTTCGTAACAAAGGTCTGCAATTGCAATGCAATAACAGTTAAATTAAGTAAAAGTCGTTTGTGTGCTTTTAATAAAAAAAAGAGCTAAAATAAAAATGGAAATTACAAGTTCGGTAATGAAACTAAAGAACCTAACTCATGCAAACAGATTCTAATGTTACTTTTTCTACGACCGTTAGCTTTTCGGTACATTGGATACATACAGAATTGACAAAGGTCAAAATTCAAAGCGCGAAAACATCCGATTGCTTCCGAACTTGTGCGGTAAAATCCTGGAAATATCCGAAGTAGCTCGGATTCGTGGGAAACGAAACTGACGTGGTAAATTGATACTTACCGCACGCTAGATCGGTGAGTAATTAGCCATTTTACAGACGGTAGTAGAAAAAAATATTTTAATATTTTAATATATCTTTTTACCGAGATATACAAGATGGTTCATATACTTTCATTCATTATCTCTTTGACAAAAATCGATATCCGTAATCTGATATTGTTGAAAGGATGGAGTACCAAAGAAGATTAGCATATTGCGTTTGCGTTTGACGATTCGTCGTTTTAACGGCCACCCATACGTGTAACGGACGTTCGCCCTTGTATTTGGAAATAAAATGCATTAACTGGAATGCCATAAAATGCGATTCCGAGACACACAACACTTATAAGACAACAAAAGGAACTTGACTAAACAAAATGTGCGCGTAGACCATTTAGCATGTCTGCGCTGAGGCAATGAACTCGCGTATGACAAAGGACCATTATATAAATTATATATTTTCCCCGTAGTGTATCCATCTGTATTCACTTTAGCCATAAAGTCGTGCACGGGTTCGACGGCGACCGAAATGCACGTAGTAAATGGAAAAATGGAACTTTTTGAAAAAATTCCAGAATTACTCTTATGCGATAAAAATGTTGTTTATGCAATTAAGTCGGTCAATAACTCCCGTTCGATTAAATAAAAGCCATATCGGGAGAAAACTGGGACAATGGCGGTGTCGATAACAATAAACTGATACTGTATAAACTTGATTTTATTCGGTAGATAAACAAAATCAAATGCAAATCTGAAAACAGATAAAAATAAAAAATTACAAAATTGCTTCCGTTGGAATTTTGAGAACAACAAAATATTACCATGGCTATAAAACCAAAACCATCGACATTATATTGAATCGAAATTTCCGATGGATAAACCGCAGAGGAATTATGGTGACATAAGCTTGGAACGACGCTACATGTTTAAAATCTAGAAACATATGAGACGCGTTCTTAGCAAATTAAGAATTTAGCTGTAACCAGTGACGATGTCCTACAGTGTGCGAAAAAACAAAATGACCTTCGAAATTTGATCAAAGAACGCAAACTATTATAGAAGTCCTGGAACTAAATGAGCACCGTGGCTCTAAAACCTAAGATAATGAATAGGAATGACATATATTGATATATTTCGCGCAGAAGCAAACGAAATTAGCCGCGCTACAATATTTGCCAATGTAAACCGAAGATAAGATAAGGAGGAGGTACTAACGAATACCGGAGGCATTCCAACTAATTACAAATGAATTCCAGAGGTATTCCAACAAATTATACGTATACCCTCCTCCCTGTGGTTAACCCCTCGGTAATTTTACTTATTTGTATTCTCGGGCTCTGCATTATCAGGACCGACAATACTTTGCATCCCTAGGATTTAAAAATGACAGGTCGTCGTACTGATTATAATATTTGAACAAAATTTGCTCTTTTATTTTTCTCCTGCAGATCTTTCCAGTAACGGTAGTTGGGAAGGAATCCATAAACTTAACCCCTTCCCTAAGCCTTTTGTGGTCGGGTACTCTTTCATCTACAAATCTCACCAGCTCTTCTTCGGTGACCTTGGGTGCGTTACTTTTCAAAACAACCACGCCCAGCAGACGTTCGGATTCGACTTTGTGCGGTATTCCGATAACGACCGCGTTTTGAACCGATGGGTGCCTGATCAGAACCTCTTCGATGTGGGACGGGTAGATCAAATAATCTTTCCATCTAAAAAAAAGTAACCTTTCCTATAAGTGCAAACGTTGCATCAAGAAAATTTACCCTAATATTGCCTTTAATCTGTCGACCACGAAGAAACAGAACTGGTCGTCGTAATACACCATGTCTCCCGTTTTGAAAAATTCATCCTGGTCGAAACTGCCCGCAGCGGATCTGTTGTAAAACGTGGTGAACATATGTTTGGCTTTGATCATCAGCTCTCCCGGTCGGTTGGGTCCCAGGACTTTCCTCGTCTCGATATCGACTACCTGCATCGCGAAATATGCGTAACTTGTAAGTGACAGCGAGATTTCTAATTTACCTTATACCACAACCCTTTAGTGGGTATTCCGCAACTTAAGGGTTTATTGCGTAGACGCTCTTCATCAAATTTGGTTGCAAAACCAACTTCGGTCATACCGTAAATTTGGAAAACTTTGGTATCGGGAAAAAGTTTCTTTAACGCTAACAGGTAATCTTGATGCAAAACTTGACCGCCGGTCATCAGTTCTTTCAGGCTGGACGTTTCGACTGAAGGCGGTCGTGTAGTTAACGTCAGCTCAATGCATTCCATTGGCGTCAGACCTAAGTCTGTCACCTGTAATTCATAACAAGTTATGATATTTTTAGGATTTTAAAAAAACCAATAGGCTTGGCAGTCGTAAAGATCTTGATTTGTGAAAAAAAAAATGGAATTTCCCAAAAAAATGAGTTTAAGAAAATACCTTATGTCCCTGCTAGTTGTGCAATTATTCCGAAAAATACTCCAGGTAAGGTATTTCTCTAGACCCGACACTAAGTGCATAAGAAAAAATGGTTTGCTGCAGCAATACTAAATTTCCAAATAAGTAAGAGTAATGTTGCGGCAGAAATATGGTTGTGGTTCCACTGGTTTTCCCGGACAAGAGAATAAGTATGAATCGCTCAAGTAGTGAGAAACAGTAAAATTTCAGTAATAACCATGGAAAAACAATAATGAAGGATGGACATTCTATATTTCTGATCTTCAAGCGTAACAAAAAACAGTACCTAGTGCCTAATTGTGAACATCATCAAAAATTATCGTAGTAAATCAGTTCAGAACCAAAATTGGGCACAAAAAGTGTTTCAACATCAAAAGATTAAAAAGCAGGTTAGATTTGATAATGAGGAAATACATGTAGATATAAATTGATTTAGTGGAAGATAAGAAAAATTAACAAATCCAGATTGACATCATGTATTATACACAGATATTAATAAAGAAAATCTTAAGTTGGTAGCTTTAGTAATAAAAAGAGGAAAAGAAATATATTAAAATTTTTATAAAAAATTTTTAAATGTAATATTTATTAGAGTGCGGCTAGAATACTGCACATCTACCGGTTAATTTTTAAGGCTAATTAATTAATTAACTTAGGAACTTCTCCTGCATTCCTAATTAAGACATCTCTAATTCAGGTGACCGAGAGGCCAGCACTATGAACCAAAAGTCTCGTTGATTTATTTACATTGTTTTTGAGTTGTGGTGTGCGTTGACTCTCATTGTATTATTTTTTATATATTCCTATTAGGTATCGTTCTCTTTTCAAGTTATGACCCAAATGTCACCTAGTTTTGGTAAACAGACAGAAAATACGTCGTTTGCGATTATTAAGCAAAGAGCAGTTCACTATTTGCTTTTCTCAGGTGCATTTTACATTATGATAGTGATATATCGCTAAGCAGATTGAATTATTCACGTTACATTTGGCATCAAGTACAAGTGACTAGTGGCCTTTTAACCTATATTACTTACCTATTGCAGATTTTTTTTAATTTTATGCAATGGCAATATCAAATTGTGTTTTTGTTAAAATTAATTTTAAAACCAAAGTTGTTAACCCCGTCGCTATAATAAAGAAGGAATTTTTATAATTGCTTTAGTGTGAAATATTGTATGGCGACAAATGACCGCTTAGAGTGTGTTATTTGTGACTTCTGACCCATTTTGTCGATATTGCCATTTGTTTTTTTCTTTACCTTGTACTTGTCGATAACGGTCCATATGTCATCGGCGTTGAAGTGCTCCATTAGCAACCGGCAGCCGCCACGAACTGTAAACATTACCAGCTCCATCGAAGAGGATACCCAGTAAAAGTTCGCGAATCTTAAGGAAATCCCCGATCCTCTTTTCCGCGACCTGTCGATTAACGTCAAGAAATAATAATGATTTAGACAAATCGGCTTTGGTGTCCCTGTGGTACCACTGCTAAAGTGTATGACGGCCGTCTGTTTCAAATTTCCGATGTAAACCGGTCGAAAATAATCTTCTGCTTCTTGCGGTTGAAGAAACTGCAGTTCGAATTCTTGCCCGAAAGATATTATCTCGGCATCTATCCCGCAATTTTCGAGCGAACGTTTTATGGTGTCAGTTGCCTTGTCTATGACGAATATTATTTTGGGATGTACTTGCGCCAGCAGTTCTGAGCATTCGGATATACTTAAGGAAGGGTCCAGGCTGAAAGTAATTGCGCCCAAATATTGCCCGGCTAGAATGGGTACGCAGGCGTTTAAATTTTGTTTTGTGGTGCAGACGGCTATCAGATCTTGGGATCGGATTCCTCTTTTCTTTAATTCCAACGAAGTTCTTACGGTTTTCGTGAGGAGTTGACTGAAAGTATCGAACTCATCGTTCTGAGTATTAATCTGCAAGCAAACGTGCTTTTTTCAATGAAACTTCCACAGGTTACCGTAATACTATTTACAAAACTGCAACAACGATTCAACAACAATCGACGCAGGAAGAATCCAGAAGTTTTGTAAATAGTATGAACGGGTGGTAATGAAAATACATAGTCGTGGCAGTCACTGGAAGTATATTGGTTATCAGGAGTCATTACTGGAATTATAGTGGTAATATTAAAATTAAAGAATTTTTTAAGGTTATTAATAATCATTAGGAAATTTGTGATAAGTCCATCAAAACTCAGTTGATTCTAAAGGTGCTTTGAGAAATACCCTCAGGTCTAAGAAAATTAACAATAGAATATTTCTTTTTTTGTTAAGTAAGCAGAAAAGCTGTTTACAAATTTCAAAATTAATAACCTAAAAATGTATTAACTATTGTATGACTTATTATATCAAAATAAATAAAAAAAAAAATTATAATTTAATTTAATAAGTGACATTTTGACAAATTCAGTATGTTGGTGAATCGGTGTCCTGCAACTGTCATACTCTTGGACGTACTTATACAACTACAAGCTTTGTTTCTTGTTCGGACTACATTGTTAAAACTGAAAAGTTATATTGAAATACAATGGTTTTGTTAAATATGAATTTTCATTATTACATTTCAAGATGAGTTAGATTTGGCTGTTGGACTGTATATAAATTTTTTTGTAGATGAGTTGTTTCAAAATATGCCTTTATCATATCTTGAATAAGGTCTGGAATTGAAAAGGTTTTTAGAAGCTCTAATACAAGAAACACATTATGTGAGCTTTGTTTCAATTTTCGTATATATCTGTAATGTGTCTGAACTTTGATGTTTTTTTTTATTTCATTGTTGTCCTCAAAATGATGATTAATAAATATAGTATTTATGAAGGTTTCTTTTATTTACTTCTCGTTATCTATTTAATAGAAGCAAGATTTCTGCAATGACAATGGAAGCGGTAATTAATGGAAGTTACAGGTATTTTAAGTGATATTTCGAATAGAAATTATAAATTGTATTAGTTGCCCTTTCCTATAGAGACTGGGCAAAAGTTGTCTAATCCATTGCTTAACAATATTTCGTTAGATAGCCTTTAAGTTTGACATTTGGAACCACATTTGGCGAAGATGTAACCCATATAATTTGAAATCCGTTTTGTTTCGAAAATTGGCACAGAAATACCATTCAAAATTAAATTATACCTAGAAGTTTGACTTAAAATAAAATGAATATTCCGTTTGAAAATCGTATTGTAGTCCCAGGTATATTATTGGCTTCCATTTTTACCTTTCATGAAATGAATAAAATGAAGATATATCCCCGATATTACCTGCGCTGGTTGTTGTTTGTGCAGCCTCAGAGCGTTGAAATATTGAAGTCCCAGACCACCACACGCATCGTCGAACATAAAATCTTCGCACTTTATAACACCGCCTTCGTATGTAAAGCTCATGGTTACTACTAACAGCGGATTAAAATTCACTTTTATCTATTGTTATTGACATTGTCGGAAAATCTCTGCATTTCGATAGCCTTATCGTCAATCAATGTACCATCGTTACGAGGTGAAGCAAAATATACGTTTGTGATGCTTTCGTTCAATTCTTTCCTTTTTATGGAGGACCCAGTTCTCGTCGTCACCACCGACGCAGTAATTAGGAATTAATGGGTAGTCCGAAATCGAAATTTGGTTTAATATCTAAAGGCTTCAAGTAAAGTCTGTTCATATATATAAGAAAGTGACTAACTGATACGAATTAAGGAAAGACCCGGGCGAGCAGTAAGAATGAAATACGGCCGAACAGGTCCGTACTTTGCTTAGAATTTAATTATTTGGGGTTTTGTTAGGAAATATACTAAACAATATTTATTTATGTATGTATTTATGTTCAATAAAATTACAAATTATTTTTATTACCTACTTAAATTACTTAAAATTATTCACATAATATACCAGTATCACTCTCGCTATCATCGCCTGTTCTAATTATTATTTGTTCTATATTATTTGCAATATGGATATACGATTGTTCTGCTTTTTCTATATGTTTAATAGAATTTGCCCAACTTTGTGGAGCGATGTTAAAAACTTCGGTTTCTATAAGTTTGAGGACATTGGAGTTAACACGGGGAAAACATTGTTACGACGAATGGCAGACTTTAGTTGCTGCCAAACATGTTCAATGGGATTAAATATACAGTGGTAAGGTGGAAACCTTAACACTGTATGCCCTATATTTTTTGCATAATTATCACAGACGTATTCCTTTTGTAAGGTCAAGCTTTGTAGAACCTCAATTAATTGCTTTTTGGTATAATCTTCATGAAAATAAGTGTCGTTATATACATGTAGTTTTGGATTGTTGCTTTTGTGTCACATGAGGAAGGGGTTTTAGTCAACTGTCTACTGTGATAACTTGCATTGTCCATTACAATGACACTATTAGGAGGAATGTTTGGAACTAGTTTGTTTTTAAACCAACGTTCAAATAAATCAGCGGTGGTGTCTTCATGGTAATCCAGAGAATAATCTTTAATATTTTTCGCAGACAGAGAAAGTCCATTTGGAATCCAACCATCTTTAGAGCCAGCATGAAAAATAGTTATTCTTTTACCTCTTTTTGATGGTGCGTTTGTTTTACACTTATCAGTTGAGTCAACCCAACCCTTTTCCGGGGTATCATAAGTGTTGAACTAGGTGAATAATTGGCCTTTGTTGTTCTCTGTAAATCCTAATTTTTTTTTAGATATTCCAGTCGCCATTTCCGAATTCTAAAAGATTCCATGAAAACTTGCCTTTTGTCAATTTTTTTAAATCTAAAACCATGTATTGCATACACTTCCATAAGGTAGTTCTGCCACATTTAACACCGGTTTCATCTTTTTCAAGCCTCCTAATTAAGATAACTAATGTAAAATATTAAACACAGGTAGGTATAAAATTATTCTCTATTACGGACCACAATTTTACCTGAATTTAAATTCCGAAACTTTAGGTAATAATCTTGTTGCATTGTACGTTAATGACCAGCCTTGAATTCAAAAGCAATTTGTCACTTTCTTATATCTATGAACAGGCCATATCAAATTGTTTATCCAAAACGTGTTGGTTGCGAATTGAAATTTAAAATTATAAAATATGGGACGTAACAAGTATAATGAACTATTTTGGATCTTTCTTCAGAATGTTAAATATCGGTAATAATATTTTATCAATGAGACTGGAAATCTGGAATGAAAAAAAAAATGTATTTTTAAATAAAATTCGGTTCACTAGGTTTGGTACGTATATTTTTTAAGGAATTTAATACAATAAAGAACCCTTTAAACCTGATAATTTTGTCACTGTTTGGCCCTTCATATTTGGTAAAAAAATTAGGACGCAAACATGGAATATTGTGAAATTGAATTGAAATGTAATATCAAATATTTACTAGAACAAATTTGGACGAAAGTAAGAGTGTCTACGATTTTATTCCATTTACGAAATGTGGCCTTCTTCTCATCAGCGCTTTCAAATTAATCAAAATCACCAATCTACGTCTGCAACTAGCAGTGACTGGAAGTACCCTATGGCACTTTATAATGTCCGAGATGAAGGCTGACGATTCCTGAACTGAAAACGACAAAAAAAATGGCGGGTAACCGATTAATAATAGTGCGGCAGTTATCTAAACTGCCCATCAAGAAAACATGTAATACGATTTTTTTCTTGGCGGGTGCTCTGCTATCGACTCGGTAGCTAAATACATACTTAAATAGTGTAGAGTCATAATATTTAATAAATGATTTGTGTAACATGTTATTTGTACGTTCGGATGAGCTTGCGTTGCGAATCTTGAATTAATCTGCTGACAGAGCATTAGTAATGCCCGCCGTTAAAACTCTAGTTGGTGAGTTTCAACCTTAGACATTCTCGGTCGACGATTTGTGTTCCCTTTTTTCTCTTTTCGATTTACTATTATGCTCTACTTCAAAATATTGCGGATTAATAAAACTTCGATGTAAGGAGTGATTTTTTAAACGTTTCGTTTTTAATTTACAAGAAAAAAACATAGTTATAGAGGAATGTTGGACTGTATAGTTCTAATTTGGGACTTCTTGTTGGATCCCAAGCAATAAATGGCTTAACTAAATGATGACTTATTCTCACAGGATGTGTTCACTGCTTTCACAAAAGGAAATTAGAAGAATACTCAAGAAAAGCGATATTCAACAATGAAAGGGTGAAAGAAAAGAGCGAGCCCCAACTCACATCGTCTGTGCCGACAGACTGGCTACCTGGATTAATATTTTTGTTCTTTTTTTTTTTAAATTAAAAGAAAAAATATTACTAAAACCCAAAAACAGGAAACTTGAAAAAAAATCAATTTTTTTGCCATTCAGTACCATACCAAAAATCCAAGTATGAGTTATTTTTTTCGAGCTTATCGGTACTGGTGAAATCTCTTGTTTATGCGGAACAAGAAATTTAACGCGCCCCAAAAAATGGTCCAACGGAGCCAAATCGCACAATCTAGCTAGACAATGCACCACATTCATTGCGCAATATCCATCGTTTCGTGTATTGTGTGGCATGCGGCGCCGTTTTTTTGAAAGCACATGTTAACAAGATCCAGCTCATGCAGAATATCAATTGCTGTGAACGACGACGGATGGACAACTGTGGTTTTCTTCAGCAACACTGACGGCTACAGTACCAATATTTTCTTCCGTACGCACTCTACAGCAACGAGTGGGTGGTTTGATATTTAATTGATGCGAAATTAGGTCACTTAGCAAATTAGCTTGCAGGAGTAGGGGATTATAATAAAAAAAAGATAAAATTCAATAATTGATAAGCGTAAGCAAGACCCTTTAGATGCAATAAGGCGTCCTACTAATAATTTATGCGAATTGAACTGTTTCAAACTTGTCGCTTTTTAACAATTTCAAGTAGGACCACTGAGTAATTAGTATGAAATATATATAACAAAAAATTAAGGGAAGTTTTATTTAATATAATAAAATGTATTACATTAATTTTAATAATTGTGAATAATAAAAATTATATAAATTAAAACAATAATTACAGCAATAATATCGAAAAGTTAACATAGATGTCAATTTCTCCAAATTTTTTTTGCCGAGACCGCATGTTTTACGGCGGCTATCTAGTACCATCAGAGGTCACATCACTAGCACCAAAAGCCTAGGCAAAAATAATTTGTCCACACTATTCAAAATATGAACGTAACATTATAAACAATATTACTTTTATGCGCTGAGATTCACCATATGTGGAATATGGAGAGTGTGTGCAGCTCATTGTCATGGGAGGTACTGCAGAGATTTAGTCGAATAATAGTTTGTTTATTGCAGAGACTTTTGTAATTTCAACAAATACAACTAAATTGTTTCTCCAAATACTGAACTGATCTGCTGGGGGTTATCTGTGTATTTCTAGATGGAGTATTGTGAATTTTTTACTTCACCATACCGTATTTAAGTCATATCAGGCAACACTGTGATAGACATCTACAGCCTTTGTTGTGGGGTATATTAAGAAATGATACGTTAATATCAAAATTTTCTCATCCAAGGACCCGCATTCCCTTCTTGATATTACATACCTTGCACGATGGACAACTTTTTGCCAATATTTGACGTGTTTCTTCTGGTGTCAAATCTTTTCACTTTTTTCTATATGAGTTCTATTTAATTTAATGTGCAGTAAAATGGCGGTTTTATAATTACAGCATTATATATATTTTTTGTTTTTCTGCAAAATCTTCCAAGGCATATTTAAAAAATGATGATTGTGTAAATTCATCTTTGCTTGCTTTGCTTGCAAGTAAGTCGATAAATTTTTATTTTCCCCAAGACAAAGTTGATGGTTTTTCGATGCATCTTCAGTGATAGCCTTCATTATCCAAGACAACTACATCTTCTATCTTCTCTACAAACGTGGACAACAATTGGTCTTCAGCGTTTTCATGATTGTACTTTACCTAATACACGTGAGCGGCCTTTCTCGGAAGCTTGACGAACATTAGCAATGTTTTTGCCTTTCCATATTTTTGGTACTAGAAACCCTCATTATGCCACATCTAAATATGTAAATATTTTAAAGCTCCCTGCCGTTTTGCTTCAACTGGAACTCAACACGCCTAAGTGACTTTTCGGTTATAATTTTCCGTAACAAATTTCAAGGTTATCCACTTAACTTTGGCGTAATGTCACAAAAGAAAAAATTGTTTATATTTCCAAGTAACGTTATGAGTATGTAACTATTTTGATTGTTAATATCCCAGAAAATTACTTGGGAACGATTTTTCGTCGCGTCTATAAAATGATCTACGAAACAATTCGTTGATAACGACATACCCGGTATATACGCTGTTTGGTAAACAACCGCCGATAACATTGAAACACCAACTCCACGCAAGCAGTTTAATAAAAATCCCGATCGTT